CTTAAACTGTTTCACTTGTATACTGTTGGGCTGTATGGCTTAAACTGTTTCACTTGTATACTGTTGGGCTGTACAGCTTGAACTGTTTCACTTGTATACTGTTGGGCTGTACAGCTTAAACTGTTTCACTTGTATACTGTTGGGCTGTACAGCTTAAACTGTTTCACTTGTATACTGTTGGGCTGTACAGCTTGAACTGTTTCACTTGTATACTGTTGGGCTGTACAGCTTAAACTGTTTCACTTGTATACTGTTGGGCTGTACAGCTTAAACTGTTTCGCTCATGTACTCTTGGGCTGTATGGCTTAAACTGTTTCGCTTATGTTCTTTTGGGCTGTATATATAGCTTAAAAGCGTCACTTTTATCAGGAATACTAATCAACCCCGAGCTAACACGGGGAAGAAGGGACTACACCCTTACAGCGCTTTTGACACAGGCTACATTTTACATAATTTTACCTCAGTGCTATGGCCACTTTGATCGGCGTACACTATACTAAGTAATATTTATACAAGGTTTCCTGTCAATTCAGGCGTGCAGCTGGTTATGCCTTAACTTACGTAATTATTCTGAAACTAGAGTTACTCAGCTGAACGGTCGCCAAATTTAAATCTCTTATACTTCTTATGTCTGGCTTCCCATTGTCCAGTACCACGTAAATTTGGGTTTACGTGGTTTACGATTAATTCTATCCTACAATTCGACGTTGTACAGTGTAGCTACTGACTGACACAGTAAAATAACATCATCAACTACTGTATGAGTTCTCACCGCCGTGATGTCCTCACATCCGATATATACAGAGTGGTCCCAAAGTCAGTTAATCCAAAATCATTCTTTTGTATTAACGAGAATGTTCATATTTAAACTTAAAAGGTAAAAGAAAGATAAAGTAAACTTATCCCTGTAACAGGCCGTGAAGACCCATAGGGATGTGAGACGTCGAGGCTCCCACATTTTCTTTAGACAGTCGGCTCACAGATGGCGGTAAAGTTATCAGCCTTATGCACCGGCAACATTTTACCCCCCAGGAAGATCTTTGATACTCATTTCTGTTAGAAGCTGAGTCGGCTCCAGGGACACAGTGCGGTTGGAAGGATTAGATGTATTGCAAAAGTCCGCCTCATCGGGACTCGAACCCGCGACCTTCCGGCTTGTAACATACTGCCTCAACCAATACGCTACCGCGTACCCTTATTTTTAAACCTGCCAGTCAATTTGTAGAACGGTATTACAGCGTTATGAGTTGTTCATTGAACATGTAGGGTCTCAATTCGATCAATTTTTGTAAATTCGGTAAGGAATGTGTAATTTTTTGGTGCATTTTAATGTCTAATTTACTAAACAGTTAACTGACTTTTGGGCCTCACTGTATGTTCATTGATTGACAATTTTTGTTTCCTCTCATCCGTAATTACTATTGACTGTCAGCATTCTCAGAACGATTCGCATGGGAGTAGCCAGACATATTGTTACCCCCGTAGTTTGTCACACAGTAGGATGTTTTGATTTAGTGACAGATCTCAGCTCCTATCGAAGCAATTGGTGATTTGGGTGAGCAAACGCAGTTCTGAACATTGGGTTATACGAGCTCCTTTAAAACCATTGGAAATGAGTCTGGGTGGACCCCACGACAAGTCTGGACGACGTGGAGAAGATAACATTCTTGACCTTACCAGGACTCGAACTCCAATCCTCTTTCTTCCAACCCGTAGCCAACGACTGAGCTGGGTCCTTACTTATGAGAGTTGGAAAGAGAATTACAGACAGAGAGGGGGGGAGGGGAGGAGAGGAGTAAGTAGGTGGTTTAAATATGTTCGTTAGAAGTTGTGTGGTGGCCAGCGACATGTGTGCCACTGGTTTCAGTTTGGATCGCGCATCGTATCCGATCGGTCCCATTTCACGAGCGTGCGCCTAGCGTGTGTCTTCGCGATTCTTGTGTTGTTTTCATAAAGTGAAGAGCCACAGCTGGTTCTCTTTTTGTGTACGCATTTATTGTAGGCTGTGTATTGTGTTTATTAGTGAAAACATCTCCAACTTAGTGATTCCGACGTAATGACTGTGAATGTGAACAGAAACGGTAAAATCCCCGCGTTTGCGTTTCCTAAACAGAAGAATGATACGTGACAGTATTTAAAGGTTTTGTTTTCTGTTTATCCTTTGCGTTTCTCTTGAAACTGCACCAGGCTCTGTCACCGGACGGTGAAGTGTGCATTCAATTCTGAATTAATTACCAAGCCACAACAATGCCTATATTCTCCGACTTGAGCCTCTACTATTGCGGCTCCTCAACGCCCCTTCCCCCTTCCTTTTATAGTAATCACGTTTCGTCATTTACCTCACCTTCAACAAGCTATACTCCAAGAGGCGGAGTATATTCTGGTTATTCTAGTGGTTTCTCTCTCCTTAATCTTTCCCCCCGCCTACTGCCCATGCCTCCACGAGTCAACAAATATTCACCTCTTTTACCTACAATCTCCGAAACGTCGTCGTTACCTGCCTTCCCTCTTCGTCCTCTGCCCCGCATCTCGTCACCTAGGGTTGTTCCTGCTTACAGAGCTCCTAGACCGATAAATATCGATACTGCTGATATCGATGTATCAACCCCTCGCAAAAGAACTGATAGAATCTCAAGAGATCGTGATGATTCCCAGCAAGGTACAATAAAAAGGGGAAGAACTGTCGTGCGTCTCCACACCAAGCGGTTAAAAGAGAATCCGGGACTTGTACAAAACCGGAGAATGACACCAGGTGAAAAATTGGTTGAAAAGTTTTTGATCAAGGATAAACAGACGGAACAAGCGAAACGGAAAGAAGGTGAAACAGAAGCGAGCAGTCCGAAACATGTGCGAAGAAGTTGTGATGTACAAGAAGGGGAAGATGAACGCTCTAACACTTCCAGAAGAAAAAGTGTTAAAGATCTAGAACGCTTGATTGACTGTGGTGAGCCGGAGAGGATCTCCTCGAAGAAAGAGCTGGTTGGTGGTGGTGAGGTGCAGGATGTGATAACAGTGACACAGTCGGAGGCTCTCGATTTGTTATTATCTGAGACGGACAATGAGACCGAAATTATCTCAACGAAACCCGGACTATCACCAGAGCCGCCACCGGGCGAAAAATACGTATCTGTGAAAGACAAACAGAAGTCACAGACGGTAAAGAAGAGACCAAGAAAACGAGATAAGGGCTCTACAATAAAACGGTTTGATCATAACGAAGCTCCGGTAAGTCAAGCACCAGCAGAGAAATCTTTGCTACAAAGAAGAAACACTGTGAAGAAGCTCAGAAGAAATTCTCGGGACATTGAATCACTTATATTAGCCATAGATGAGAGAGAAAGCTCAAAGCTGTCCACCCCTGCTGGCCTATTGCCTATGCCAGCCAGTACAATAACATCGACACCAACTACGTCGACAACATCAACACCAATTAATTCAACACCGTCAACGCCAGTAACACCAGTAGTCGAAACATTGCCGTTGGATGTGAGAAGACCCGTTGTTTTTGAATCACAGTGTTCGAACAGAGACATGTACCCATTCAAAACGAAGGTCAGTGACCGGAAATCCGAGCCAAATGTTTCGAAAATAGTATCGGCAGAAATTTCAGTTGAAAATGCCGGTGACTTAATTAAAAAAATGCCACTTAAGTTTGTAGTAGACGAAATCAAAGTCGAAGAAACTCAGAAATCACCGAAATTGCTTCGTTATGAAGTTACTGTGGAAGAAGTCGGTAATAGTGAAATGCCATTCCAGAAAGACGAACGTGCAGAACGCTCAGAACTGCTTGATGAGAGTACATGTGACTCAACAATAAAGCATGGCTTGAAGCCAGCGGAAAGTGACGTAACATATAATTCCGCTTCTGTGCCTAATCGAAAAGAAGAGAGCGAATTTACTTTTAATCGGACACACGAGTCGCAGAAGGCAGAGATCATTCCTGAAACTGTTCCAGAAGTTGAAGTTTCACTTAGCAACATTGCTGAAAGCAACTCGAAACAAGTTGATAGTCTTTCCTTTTCACCAGATATTAGATATAATGAGAAAGGAAGAAACCAACAGGCTTTAACGGCAGGTTCCGAAATGACTGATTTTCCAAGTCTCGTACATATGTATTCTAAACAAGACGCTGACGGTGATTCTGGATCAGGAAAGGACGGATTCGAGAATGAAGAAATAAAGTACACAGCTTCAGAATGTGATACAAAAGCATCACCAACTGAGAAAGAATTCAATCAAGTTGAGATTCTGAAGAACACAACACCAGTGAATAAATTCACAGTACATAAAGATGTAACAGGAACACCAAAGGCTCAACATAGAGACAAAATTGAGAAAGACACTTCTAATAAAAAGTTGATGGAATATTTAAAAATAACAGAAAGAAACTCTTCAAGTCAGAGACCTGAAATCCCTTTAACGTCTGGTCAAAAGAACGAACAGTGTAGTATTCCAGCATGGAAAAAAGCACTGATTGCAAGAACTCAGGCGAGCAACGCCAGTAAAGCCCAGAGTCAAATTGGCATGCAACAAAACTGTCAGTTAAGCCCTGTATCACAAGTTTCCAATAAAGATAATACGACGACATCGAACGAAAAAACGCTTAAAGCCATTGTTGAATCTCGCAATGAAAACTGTGAATCCCTTCTTCAGGATACAAAACCACCCGCCATACTATCCACAGAAAGCTGTTCCAATATCTCGGAGCCCGAAACAACTGAAGAAGACCAAATTGAAAACACCAAGTCTGCAGATGCGGATTCTTTGTGCGGGAATTCTAGCCCCGAAAAAGCAGCGCTGCAGTCCGCCAAGTCAGATCCAGCAGAAAAACTAGAAATTCAAGTAACAGAGGGAAAAAAATCCGCTGAAGCACTTTCAGCAGATCAAAATGTAAAACATTTCGGAAAAGCTGAAGCAGAGAATTTGAACAATGCTGCAGTTGGTTTATATTCAAGTAAAGAAAAGAAAAATGCAGACGAAAGACAAATATTGGAAAACAAACTGAAACCTATCCAACCGCTGTCCGCAGGAAATGATAAGTCAGCGGAAACAAAATTAGAAAGTGTCCAACTAAAGCATGCTGAAAGGACACACGTTGGAACGGCAAAGGCAACTGAAGCGACGCCGAAAGAAAATAAAGCAAAGCAGCCTCATGCAACAGTTGCAAATGGGACGAAAGCTGGCGAGTTGGAGATGACAAAGGGTAAATTGAAACCCCCTCAAAGGTTACCTGAACAGAAGTCGCCACCTAACATGAATCTGTCAAAATGTGAAACAATATCAGAGACTGTTGGAATTGAAACATTGGCCGCTAAATTGAAACATGTAGAGAAAAAGGATGTAAATGAACCAAAAACTACAATAGAACCACCTGTCGGAAAGAAGGTGACAACTGAAATAAAACCAGGTGGTGAGAAAACAATTCCTGCAGGAGAATCTCCTGTAGAGGAGTTAATGTCCACTGAAACTGAAATGCCGGCAAATTCACCGGCTTCCGTGAGAGACGAGGAGAGGGGTGAGGAACCACGAAATCCCGAGCTGAAAACATCGGCAGTTGAAGAAGAACTTGTCGGAAGGTCAGCAGCGTCTGTTGGTACGAAATTGAAAGACTCGAAACCTGTGCCTGCAGGAAATGAACCTAAACAAACAAAAACAAATCCACCTGAAAAGAAACTCATGCCAGTCAACGCTGAAGTCTCGAGTCACCTGAAGTCAACTGGGACGCTCGCAGCGGAAACAGGAAAACCCTGTGTGACGTCAGTAGTGGAGGAGCCAGATTCTGCAAGTTGTGCTGCAACTGCTGAACCTGAAAGCAAGGATACCGCCGAGGAGATCTCATCAGAAGATGAAGCCGACTCTGAAGAGGAAACGGATACCGAAACTGATGATGATGGTGATGATGACGGTGAGGAAGTGAGACGACTGTCTCAACGCGCAAGTACCTCCTCGTCGGAAGACTCCGGATTTGACAGCCTTCCCACTTCCGTTCCCGGTAGCCCAGCTTATTATAAGAAGGACCCCAACATCAAGGGTACTCATCCGAGCTTGTAACACAAAATAGCCTTTATTTTCTAACAGATTCTTCTTGTCCCACCAGGATGAATATTATATTGATACTTATGATCTCATACATAAATTCACTACGTAATTTCGATATCTCATCTACAAATACAAATAGAATTTTATGTCTATTGAGGAAATGAGGCATGAATTGTATTCGCTCGCTCGAACGCTAGGATCATGGGTTCGAATCCCACTTAAGGGGTGGATGCCTGTTTATATTGTTCTCTGTTTAGGTAGAGGCCTTGCGGCGGGCTGATCCCCCGTCCAAGGAGTCATACATACCCCCAAGCGCTATAGAGCCATTGATGGATGGATGAAACTGATGTTTTAGTTAGATAAGTAGAAGGGGCCGCGCTAAAGCTCAAGCGGTTAGTCGCTGGCTTTACACCGCGGCGGCCCGGGTTTGATGCCGGGTCTGGTCAAGTGGGATTTGTGGTGGACAAAGTGGCGCTGGGGCGTGTTTTCTCCGAGTACTTCATTCCACCAAATTCTCCATAGTACAATAGGCCAATCAGTGGCCGCCGTGCCGAGTGGTCTCAGTTGGACCCCACTCTCCACTAAGCAAATTATAAAAAAGATAATTAGCAAATTAAGTAGTTTATTAAGCGGACTTAAGAGACATGCTTAAATTTTTTCTGATATGCTCGTTTAAGTTTCGTCATGTTAGGTACAATATTGCGTTCTGTTGTGGACAGTAAAAGTAAGTATAAAGTAAAGCTATCCCTGTAACAGGCCATGAAGGCCCATAAGGTTGTGAGACGTTGAGGGTCCCACATTATCTAGACAATCGGCTCAAAGAGGCGGTAAGGTCGTCAGCCTTACGCGCCGGCCGCGTTTTACTCCCCAAGAAAATTATTTAATGAATTCCTGGTACTCATTTCTATTTGAGGCTGAGTCGACCCCAGGACCATAGTGCGGCTGGAAGGATTGTTCCGGACAGTACTTTTTAATTATACCTAAATGTATTTCATAGACATGTATTTTTGGGGAGTTGGATATTTTTATTGCTAGCTACAAATAGTTTCAGGAATAAAGTTATGTCATAGTTTACTGACATGAGCATAAAAGTATAGAGACGTAGTATCAAATAGTTGCATTTTAAATTGTGTTCATTAGATCTGCATGCAGCAATATCCTCTTAGATCTCCTAAATATCAAAATGTCAATAATATCTTACGGCTCGTCACTTAATTTCGAACAATTCCATTTGCTGAAAAGGGCTACACGGATGTGCAATGGTTCTTGAAGTCTGACGAATTTTGAATGGACACGACCATAAGAATCAATATAATTATTCATAAAACAGTTTCAATGTAAATAGCCACAGTTCTCCAATACCAAACAGAGGTGTGCAGTACTGCCTTCTGGGATATAACGCCGTATAGTCCGTTGAATGTCCACCGTCTTGAGTGTCACATATGCCGAGCAAGGCGCCACCTGCTTTTACACTGATACCTTGCTCCGCATATTAGGTCCTGAAGGTGGACTCGATATGTTCCTCCGAAAAGTCTGTTGACTTTTCAACGGACTACACAGTGTTATATCCCAGAAGATAGTACTGCTCCTAACCACCGCTGTGAGAACCTCATGTCCTACAAAGATACGATAAATACTGTCTGTCTGAAGAGATATGATATTTTAGGGAATAAGGTAAAGGTAAAGCTGTCTCTGTAACAGGCCGTGGAGGCACATAGGGTTGTGAGACGTCGCGGCTCCTACATTTTCTCTAGACAGCTGGCTTATTGACGGCGGTAAGTTTGTAAGGCTTACGTGCCGGCCGTCCTTTACCATCCAGGAAGATTTCTGGTACATATTTCTGTTGGAGACCGAGTCGATATCGGGGCCGTAGTGCGGCTGGAAGGATTAGGTCAATTGAAAAATCTAGTGACCTCATCGGGAATCGAACCCGCAACCTTCGGGCCTGTAGCATAATGCCTCATTCAACTACGCAACCGCGTGACCAGTTTTTCAGGGAATAGGATATCTAAATTGAGCTGTGTTCCATAGATGAACGCTGTCGTTTATTGGCAAAGTGGAGCAACATTCCAGAATTTTTAGCCACTCGTATAAAAGTTTATTACAACGAGATACGCGCTGGTCAGGGATGTTACACTGAAATCAGTTTATACAAAAGAAAACGTAGCTGTTCTCGCCGTATTCAAAACCGAAGTCTACGGATTCTACACGTGCCGTTTCATGTGGCATATAGGCCTACGCTGTTGCAACATATAGCAGAATCCTTCTTCAAAATCTATAATAATTGCTTAGTCAAGAACTTTACCGCCTTTTCTGAACCCCCAAAATTCATCATCGCATCCACTAGAGCTCATAACTGGACCCTGTCATGAGCGAGATGAATCCAATCAAAATTATCCCCTATTTTTCCACCACCCATTTTAATATTATCATTGTATACATGTTTGGGTTTCCTAACTGACCTGGCCTAATATTTTGTACGCAATTCCCATCTCTTCCATGCGTGTTGTATGCCATGTCTATCTTCCGTGACTAGTTCACAGTATTTGTGAAGAGTGCACATTATGAAGCCCCACGGCGTTCTTTACACCTCCCGTTTCACCCCCCCCCCTCAGCGATCAAGACAATTTCCTCAGCAGTTGTGGGCAGAGTCTGAGTAGCACCAAAGCTCCCGCAATGCAATATTCAGGCAAATTTATAATCCCAATACTGTTTATATTTACTTTTCAGCCAAATTGTTTATTCAAATTAAATTTAAAATTTCTTAAAAATAAAACAGTATTTTTCGAAGATCTTTGTAAAATTGTTTGGGCATCTCTTTAGAGTTACTTGGGTTTTGGACTTTGTCCATCGTCCCGTATTCTAGAAACTAGAAAACAATACGTTTCGGAAACTGGATCTGTTTCCGTCCTCAGGTGAGGGGAAGGGGGGAGACATTACTCAGTTGGGTCCCTTAGAAAGCGCTAGCCTCAGTGTAGTAATTCTGAGTATTGTACACCATCGTCAGAACCCTTTAGAATCTACTTGTAGATCTGTTATCCAGTAAATGAAAAGTTTAATATTTATCACGTCACGTTCCAAAGCTGCGAAAATATATGTGGGGGGGGGGACTTCCGAGAATGTCAACTCTCATAGCCATCGAAATATGTAGAAATAAGTAGATGGGTGTATAGACAACCATGCCGATCACAGTGGCCGTACGGTTTATGTCATGAACTGTCGTCGCTCTCTCGGACGCTAGGATTGTGGGTTCGAATTCAACTCAGGGCATGGATGTTTGGTGTATGTTTTTATCCTGTGTTTAGATAGGGGCCTTGCGACTGGCTGATCACTCGTTCAAGGAGTCCCTCTGTGGAAAATGACTGCGGAACTGGATAAGGGGCCGGGGCACTGAATGGGCTGAAGTGCCATTGAAGTTAAAGTCTGTATAGACAGTCATAACAGCTGAAAAAAAAATTGTTCTCTTACCGATAAGTTTACGGTCTCTCTTCCTTCGCGTTTGCTTTTGGTTTCTGTGTATGCTGAAGAATACCATCTTCATTTAGTCCGCGTCAGCTGACGTCACTGAGAAACATCCCGTTTCAATCTTCACGGTTGAAGTGAAGTGTAAGCAGGAAACGAGCATGATGCTTACTGCTTCCTCCGAAACTACAGCTGACTTTCAGTGGACTACATATCGGTATAGGTGGGAAGGCCGATTTTGGCCGGTGGATCTCTGATACGTAGTGGTCTGACTCAAGTCAGTAAGAAGGTAGACGTGCCAGTTGCTGGTTTTTTAATTGATATATTTCTTTTAGGGCAGTAACACATTTAAAAAGAAAACAAATGCCACCTATTCAGTCAAAACTTGATAAAAATTCATTGCACAGCCAGGCCCGAGAGGTTGTAATAAGGTCCATTCACATATGAAAAGTGATGCGGCTGCAGGTCATGTATTGATACCGTTAAGAAAGGTACAAGAGTAGTAGTAAGGTCAACCGGAGTTTCAGAAAGAAGTTTACGGAGAATTCCGAATGAAGGCACTCAATATGAAAAAGAAGGCGCTATGTTCGGAACCATTCTATACCTAAACGGGTAACAAATCCAGATGATTTCGATATATCTGTGATTCGACGGACAGTGTATGATTTCAACCCCCAAGAAGAAACTGTGCCTACTGTGAGGAAACCACTTCAAAAACTCAGGGAAACCATAAATTTCAAGGGAGGTATTACCAGCCTGAAATTGATTTTACGGAAGATGGGTTTTAAATGGAAGAAAACGCGAAATAACAGGGGCGCCTTGATCGAGAGGGACGACATTAGGTCGAAGAGAGTAGCGCATTTGCGTGTAATAAAGAAGTACAGGGAGGAAGGTCGGACTATAATTTATGAGGACTAGACCTTCATTCACAGCAGTCACAACAGACCTAAAAACTGGACGGATGACACTCCATCAGGGTACATGGCACCCGTATCGAAGGGTCAGAGTCTTCATTCCCGGGTCATTGTTGATATTTAAATCTCATTTCAAGTCCGGGGAGTATCATAGCGAAATGAAGGCGACAAATTATCAGAAGTGGCTAACAGAAAAACTTATTCCGAATTTGCCTCCAAAATGCCCCACATCACAACGTGCAGTTTAATAAGGCGCCAACCAGCCAGACCACGAAGGCCAAGATGATGGAGCCGCTTACAGTGAACAATGTGCCACTTCATGACGGAATGCTCAAAATTCAGCTCTATGACCAGATAAAGGCACATAAACCCCTCCACAAAAACTTTGTAATGGACAACATAATGGCTGCATATGGACACACGGTATTACGACTTCCACCTTATCATCCAGACTTGAATACGATTGAACTCGTTTGGGCTGATGTTAAGCAGTCAGTAGGGGCAGAAAATGTCTCATTTCATTTACATGACGTGGCAAAGAAGTGTGAGAAATGGTTCAGTGAATTTCGACTAGAGAATTGGTAAAAAGTTTGCGACCGCACCGAAAAGAATGAAAAGGAACATATCGAAAAGAGCGAATTAGAGAGAACGCTACAGAAAGAATTATCATCCGACGTTTTGAAGACAGCAGTGACATTGACTCCAGTGATAATGATACAGCTGAACTCAGTCAAAACAGTGACTTGTCTGGAGTGGAACTGTTAGACGAATGATTAGTATTGTGTTACGTTTATGTGTATTTAACGTTGCTAGTGTAGTGCACTATGCTGTGAGTAAATTAGTTCATCATAATAGGATGTTAAAGAGCCTGAATTGTGACTGATAGGACTAAAGTTCCAGTTAAATTCATCCTGCAGTCGGAGAGCAACTTCCAACCTCACAAGCAGCCANATGTGCCACTTCATGACGGAATGCTCAAAATTCAGCTCTATGACCAGATAAAGGCACATAAACCCCTCCACAAAAACTTTGTAATGGACAACATAATGGCTGCATATGGACACACGGTATTACGACTTCCACCTTATCATCCAGACTTGAATACGATTGAACTCGTTTGGGCTGATGTTAAGCAGTCAGTAGGGGCAGAAAATGTCTCATTTCATTTACATGACGTGGCAAAGAAGTGTGAGAAATGGTTCAGTGAATTTCGACTAGAGAATTGGTAAAAAGTTTGCGACCGCACCGAAAAGAATGAAAAGGAACATATCGAAAAGAGCGAATTAGAGAGAACGCTACAGAAAGAATTATCCGACGTTTTGAAGACAGCAGTGACATTGACTCCAGTGATAATGATACAGCTGAACTCAGTCAAAACAGTGACTTGTCTGGAGTGGAACTGTTAGACGAATGATTAGTATTGTGTTACGTTTATGTGTATTTAACGTTGCTAGTGTAGTGCACTATGCTGTGAGTAAATTAGTTCATCATAATAGGATGTTAAAGAGCCTGAATTGTGACTGATAGGACTAAAGTTCCAGTTAAATTCATCCTGCAGTCGGAGAGCAACTTCCAACCTCACAAGCAGCCAGCCTAAGAATGTTCTCTCTGCAGACGAAGTAAGGTCGTAGNTCTCATGCTCAGACTCGTTCTCATGCGATGACAATGAAGGACACTGGCCAAAAAGCATCGGCGGCATAAATATGCCATATATCTTAATAACCACCGCTGTGAGAACCTGACTTATGCTGATTGTTAACACGCAACTCCCACGGTCTTGCTACACTGGTCGTTTCTGATTACTTTTCTTGTATCTGGCAACTAAAGATTGTAGCTTATGCCCGGATGCATATTTCCTATTGAAAATGTTCAGTGTCAGTTTCGTGTGTATGANAGGAACATATCGAAAAGAGCGAATTAGAGAGAACGCTACAGAAAGAATTATCCGACGTTTTGAAGACAGCAGTGACATTGACTCCAGTGATAATGATACAGCTGAACTCAGTCAAAACAGTGACTTGTCTGGAGTGGAACTGTTAGACGAATGATTAGTATTGTGTTACGTTTATGTGTATTTAACGTTGCTAGTGTAGTGCACTATGCTGTGAGTAAATTAGTTCATCATAATAGGATGTTAAAGAGCCTGAATTGTGACTGATAGGACTAAAGTTCCAGTTAAATTCATCCTGCAGTTGGAGAGCAACTTCCAACCTCACAAGCAGCCAGCCTAAGAATGTTCTCTCTGCAGACGAAGTAAGGTTCTCATGCTCAGACTCGTTCTCATGCGATGACAATGAAGGACACTGGCCAAAAAGCATCGGCGGCATAAATATGCCATATATCTTAATAACCACCGCTGTGAGAACCTGACTTATGCTGATTGTTAACACGCAACTCCCACGGTCTTGCTACACTGGTCGTTTCTGATTACTTTTCTTGTATCTGGCAACTAAAGATTGTAGCTTATGCCCGGATGCATATTTCCTATTGAAAATGTTCAGTGTCAGTTTCGTGTGTATGAGTAGGGCACAGTAGTTAATTCCACTAGTCTAGAAGGTTATGGTAATTTTAATCGTTTCTAGCATCCTGTTGTGTGTTTATTTAATAGTAGAGTGAATTTACCGACTACACAACACGTTTTTTATTATCACTACATGTTTCGACCTCAAGAGGTCATCCTCAGGTGTATGAACACGGCTGTATAATTACACGCGGTCACATTCACTTTTCACTTATTCGACCCTGTATCTTATCAAGATTTACGCTCACTAATATATCGAGTTCTTTTATGAAACACGGGTTACAATTATTATTCTGATTTAATTGTTAAAAGTTAAAAGTTCGTGAATCGAAGTTCAATTCATGTCACCGGTTACACTTTCACTTGTTGTTTACAGTCTCATTTTACTTACGCCTACAACTGTGTCTAGTTCATTTTTAACTAGTTTAATAATTATTATTATTATTGGTCAAAAGTTCGTGAATTAAAGTTCAGCTTATATTATTGGTTGCACTTTCACTTGTTTGTGAGGTCTCGCTGTTCTTCCGCGTTCTCTGATGCTGCTGGATCTGTTATGATCGTTGTCGTGATGGGTACACATCCAAGAAGTCACTGCAGTGAGAACCTCAAGTCTCACACGGAAATAGACAAGTTTTGATAAGAAAGAGATAGTACGTACTGTTTCTAATACCGGTATTTATTGTTCAAGTGTCTAGTGGTCAGCGTTCCTGGCTACAGATCCAGAGGTCCGGGTTCGGTTCCCTGCGCCACCAGATTTCTTCGGAGAAATGGTGGGTCTGGAACGGGGTCCTCTCAGCCTCGTGATGATAATTGAGGAGCTATTTCAAGGAAATAGCGGCTCCGTTCTAGAAAACTGAAATTAACTGCCGTGGGTATTCGTTGCGCTGACGACGCGACACCCTCTATCCGCAAAAGATGGCACTAAACTTCGCCGACAAGCGGCCGTCGCTCGGTCGGTGTGGTTCGCTTGCGGACTGAAAACACGGAGTTTGTGACAAAGTTGGTACAGTTTAGCTAGCATAATATATTTTCTAAAATTCCACTGTCAACATCAAAGTACAGTGTGTCCACAAAGTCTCTTCGGGGTTTTGAGAAATTGTGGCGCGCAAACAAATTGAGCTAGCCAGATGCGGTTTGCGGCAGATCATAGTGAAACTCTGGAAATTTTTTACTGACCTCAGTAGACCTCGGTGTGGACTCCCTTGGTAGGACGGAGAACGTCCAGACGATATTCGAGCTCTTGCCATGTTCTGTGGAGCATGTCCGCTGGAATAGCCGAGATTGCATTCCTGTTAGGGTCTTCAGGTCATCAAGTCCGTTAACTGGTGTTCGGAACACACTGCTCTTGACATAACCCCACAGGAAAAAATTAAATGTTTTCGGCAAAAGAAAACTTCCAGAGTTTCACTATAATCTGCCACAAACCGCATGTGGCTAGCTCAGTTTGTTTGCGCGCCACAATTTCTCAAAATCCCGAAAGAACTTTGTGGCACTCTGCACTTGGCAACGTGTGTGAGAACATGGCGTGTTGCTTGTCTGTACAGTGAAATAGCTCTATTTCGGAAACCGCTCACAATAGGACACATGTACATGTACACTTATTTTTGCTTAGATTGGCCGGTACTGTGACCTCCCACAATATTGACCTTTCCTCCTGGGACATCCTGTATGAACTTTGTAATTCAAGTGACCAAAGAGACGGTTTTTAAGTGACTGAGGAAAACCACAGTATCTGAGTGTCGTTTCTGCAAACATACAAAATACTTTTTATGTGTTCAGTTTGCGTCTTAATGTTGTTGAAATTACAAAGTAAATCCGCTGTGTCAGAGGAGATACTCCTATGTGACGCTGGAATAGTACGAAGGAATTTTAAGTGCAGTTTTTAGCCCTTTAAATTACAGTGGTTTCTATATGTACCACTTGCTTTAACACAAAGTCCGCGTTGTAATCGTGTGTCACATGTTTCTCTCGATAAAGAGAGATTGTTTCCCTAAACTGTATTAATCGCTTGATGTTTGTAACTAAGACGTAGTGTTTGCTGTGCGGGAGTCAGCAGACAGCTGCAAGACTTACATACAGACGCTCGTCTCAAAGCTTATATAGTGCAATAACATGTCATGAGTGCGAAATATTCACTTGAGGAAAGGCCAAGCATATTCATAAAAGACAAACCCATCTTCTCGTCAGAGAGGATGTTACATAAGGACTATTACCGCAAGGGCTCAATTGAAAAGAAAATCTATGGTCGTGAGTCTCAAGGGGTCTGACAGCAAGACGAACTGATTGGTGGTAAACCGCCAGTCGTAAAGTAACTTTGACTTTGAACTTTTCTTGCTTTCCCGAGGGTTAATGAAACGTTATTGTTCATTGCTGTGATAAGAGCAGGTTTACTTCAGTGTTTCTGTGACACTCTCACCTTATTTTTTCAGTACATTTTTTGTAAGTGTGATATTTTTGCAGACTGCGATGTGAATTGTCACAAGAAATGCGAGAAGCTGATGCCCCATCTGTGCGGTGTCAACCAGAAACTCGTTGTCGAAGCTCTGACCTCACTAAAGAAAGGTAGGACATGGGCGCCCTTTTTCATTGTCGCATTCAGGTTACTGCAAATGGTACCTATACCCGTCACTTTAAGTGATGTTCCTGTTTGTTTGTGGAAGTGCATTTCGAAGACTCGTTATTCTAATGACCTCCATTTCTATACATGTTTCTGTTTCGTTTTTAACGCAGCAACGTTTTTAACGTGAAGCGCCATCCAAATTTTTCACGAATTTTTGTTGGTCAAATCTGTATTTTTAGAAGAATTTTGAATTAATTCGTTTAAAATTTTTAAAGCTGAGAAAGAAACTTTTTATGTTTTAGTCCTACTGTCCCTTCGACTTATACTTGCAAGTAAGCCCATCTTATAGCATTAAACGTGCCGAAATAGCAAGTCCGTGTAGACGGTCCAGCATTCAAATTTCCAGTCCGATTAGGGGCGAAAGATTTTTCTCTTCTCCACAGACTCAAGACTAGCTCTAGGACCTAACTGGTCTCTTTTTTTCACTGGGAACTGGGAGGCTCTTCCCTTGGGTGGGGAGTGAAGCGGTCGGAACGTGAAGGTGACTAGTAACCGCGATCTGCTGCCGAGGCTTAAAATACGTGGATCTATATATCCACTTCCTCACAAATCTTCATGTTGTGGTGCTTAATTAATTAAGCATTTGGAAAAATGTGCTTCTAATTTATTGTAAGAGAAAAGGGTGAAAATCGGTGAAAGTTGAGTTCGTGCACAGTCAACAGAAATGCAACAATAGTGTTTCTTTGGCACTGTATACCACTCGCTTTAACTCTGCATTCTGCACACAAAGTGTATTTATGTGTTGCATATGGCTCTTACAATAAACAGCATTAACTGGTTGAGCTTTGTAGCGGAGACATAATGTGTTTCCTGTGAGGTACGGACTGGATTTTTATATATTTATCCGCAAAAGTTGGCACTGACTTCGCCAACAGGCGGCGGTCGCTCGGTCGGTATAGTTTGCTTGCGGACTACAGGCCACGGAGTTTGTTTTGTTTTGTATTTCGAAAACCGCTTATCGATTACCTGACTACAATGGCGCACGCCGGTCCTCCTAGCGACAGTTCGGCGGGCCGCTATACTGCGTTTGCACGGAGATGTATGTAGCTACCAAGGGGAAAATGCAGGACTGGGGTAAGGAGGAACATCAAAATTTGTATTTGTAGATGAGGTGATTAAATGAGACTGACTTACAGCATGTGGGGAAACGAGGAATGCGTATGAGATTTCAGATTTTCGTAGTAATAAATATTTGTAGTGTGATCTTCTGGGCTCTCATGCCCTTATCTGATAGGTGGTTATGAATGTTTCGGAAACAATACTGTTTTTATTTTTTCTCTGAAGATAGAGGCGGTGTCATGTTGTGTGTGGGACTATATTGGCTTTATTGCCCACAATAACAGCCTCACTGGCTTATACATTCTATAAGATCACTGTAACTGCAGCAAACATAAATTCTGTCTTCAATATTCTTTTCCTGACAACGGATCTTAACAATGTCCTCTGCTAACGTCCTTACCGGATGGCGAATATCCTATAACTAACTCATTTTTCCAGGTGTCTAACTCCCAGGCTGGCGGCCATCTCGCAGTAACCTCCTAATCTTCTCTTCACTGACTGACTAGCTGCAGCCTTCAACTTCTCCTGCCTATAACATCTCGGGACGGATCGCACAGAAAACACCGCTACTCATTGTTGTAGTTGTAGTTTGCTTGAGAAGCCGTTACTCAGTAACGGCTACCTTATGTTTGCTTATTCCGCAATTGTTGCCTAGCAATGGCTCTGCATGCTCTGAAGATACAGGCTGAAAGGTTAATAACCACTTACCAGATTACACAATGTGAGAACCCATAAGACTCCAACGTATTGTCACGTATTTAGGGTCGTGACCAATAATAACGGGTATCGGATGGTTGGATTTATTGACACTTATACATTCACACAGCTCGGGACTACAGGCAATTGTAGCGCAATCGCTGCTCTACACACTATCCAGCTTGCCGTTGCACACGCACTAGGATTCTCCATCTTCGCTAGTCGTATCCTGGCAACGGATTTATCACGGTCTCACTGTAACTTCAAATAAGACGTGAAGTCTTCTTGGCACCTTCTAATTCCTTTCTTGCCATTTCTGCGGCTTCCAGTTCCGAGACTACTGCTGTATACCACTACTAATCCTGTCCTTCCGAACATTTCTTATAACCACTTTGCACGGACCACATGGAGAACACGTGTGACGTATCAGAATGCGTAGCGCGGATCACGAAAATACAGCATTTTATATTGCTGCTAAGTCATATTTATCGTGCCGTTGCCTAGTAGTAGAAGTCCTATTTTTGTGTGCACCTGTGTTGCGGGAATATATCTTAACACCCCTTGCCTAGCTATGGATGTACACGTTACAGTATGTTGTACACTCTTTGAAAAGAGGCTGCTTTGGATACAGAATTATAGCGTAGACGGTAATATTAAAATGAATCTTAGAGAAATAGAATATGATGATGAGTAGCAGATAGAGTTGGGGACCACTGACGAAGTATTGTTATGAGCCTTCAGAACATTTGTTCCCGTAACAGCGACAAATATTTTCAGCAACTCAGTGTGAGCCATATGCCGCTGTGGGGTTAATTAGCTTTATGGCGGTGGTTTCCAAATTCTACTACGTATATGATGATGTCGCTTCTCTAGTTCAGCAGAGCTTTCATCGTTACCCACTTCCTAACTTTGTGTTTGTGTACAAAGAACAGATATTTCAGTTTGTTCATTTAAATCGATATATTTTCGTAAGATTTGAGCAACCTCCTGCTCAACGTTGGTTCCTCGACCGCAGATTTTTCTACCCTGAAGATGAGGCGATACGTTCCCCCGAAACGTCGGTTCACACAAGATCTACACGGCGCCACATCCCAGAAGACGGCATTCTTCACTATAATTTCAGTTCTTATCAGTTAGTGTTTGTTTAGATTTTACAAATACTGCGACATTTTGAACGGTTCAGTAAAATCTGTTTTACGAATGTTATGTTTCTGTATTATCCATCGACCCGCGTTTACATAAAAATCGTCCTGTTTATATTTCAAAACACAACTTTTCGGAGACTCATTCTGTCTCCGTTTTCAGGTGGGCCCAATTGATACAGCTAGTCCATATCTCCAAACACCTGTTTTTCTTGTGTTGGTACCATACGGGAAATTTCATCCTTCCAGTGATATTTCTATCTTGATAGTTCTCTGGTGCAAGGCCTCATACGTGTAGAGTTAGTTTTCTTAATACTTAATGCTTTGTCTAACCTCTCGCAGATGTTTAGTGCTGTGCTTGGCTTCTGTACCATATCTTGGTGTGTACATGTGTCCGGAGATAGGGACTAGCTCTGTCGATTGGGTCCAACTGAAGACGGAGACAGAATCCAGTCTTCCGAAACGTCGTGTTTATAGATGTTAACAGCGCGATTGGTAATGTCCAGAAACATAATATTTACACTAATATACTATCGCCACAAATGTCTAGATCTTAAATTCTGTTTTACTTTTTAGCTTCCCCAGAATATCCCCCACTTGACCAATCATTCGCGATCCCCTAAGGGGGTGTGCCCCACATATTGGAAACTACTGTGTTACGATAATGTAGTGTGACACATTATAACCGAAATGTTAATAGTGTTTTCATGCAGCCTCTACAAAACGACATAGAAAACCGTTCTGACTGAGCGATACAAATTCTTGTTCTGCAAGTGCCACTTTCGAATAGCACGACTATTCTTAGGCTGATGGTCATAAGACAAGAGGCGTAACAATATGGCAGAGCTCCCACATCAGTGTATAAATACTGGCACTACGTAGTTCGGAAGTTAAAGCGGGGGCGAAACCCCATTGTTTACATCTGCCCCTTTCATTGGAGAATTGGCTGAAAGAAGAAGCTATTTTACTTAACAGTCTTTAATTTCTCTGTTTTCCGGACAGTTAGTAGTTAATTAATTAAGCCATGAAGACATATGGGGGAGTGGACGTATAGCTCCGTCATACTTAATCTCGGCACTAGTTGGAGGTGAGTGGTCAGCTTCAAGTCCCGACCGCTTTACCCAGGGGACGCATTGTGTAGGAGACTGGGTGGCCCCATAGCCGGTCTCTGCGTGTGAAGAAGAGGAAATCTGAAGAAAGCAGTCTTCTGGGATTTGGCACCGTGTATATGTGGTGTTAACCGACGTTTCGGAGGAACGTATCGCCTCCATCTTCAGGGTAGAAGGAAAAATATAAGAAATCCGCAAGCGAAGAGACCGTGAGAACCGGTAAAAGCAGTCTGCTTTTTCCTTCTGCCCTGAAGATGGAGGCGATGTGTTCCTCCGAAACGTCGGTTAACACCACATATACACGGTGCCAAATCCCCGAAGACTGCTTTCTTCATAGTCACCGCCGTGAAAGCCTCAAATCTTACAAGAGGAAATCTCTTATTCCCGCTAGGATTCAAATCGTGGAAGCAGATGAAGCTACAGGATAGTGTGCGCATTATATGTCAGTTTTTGCGCTCTGTATAAAATTATATAAGAGAGAGGCCGGATACACGTTCCTTGTCCGGGGTAGTATTGCTTACATTCACAATATTGCATTATACATGGTGTCTCAAAAAGAAAGGTCAGTATTCTGGAAGGTCATAATATCAGTCATTACTGTAGACTGTAGAGACGAGCAACAAGCCATGTCCTCACACGAACTGCGAAGTGCATTGATGTTGGCGGTGGAGTTTTACGTACTACGTAAACTGTACCAAATTTGTCACTTGAACAATAAACAATTTTGGAACAGTACAGTGAAATAGCTCTATCTCGGAAACCTTTCGGAATAGGACAAATGTATACACTTTTTGCTTAGAATTACCGATACTATGACCTCCCAGGATACTGACCTTTCCTCCTGGGTCATCTATGTAATAGCTAAGAAGGAAGAATGAAATAAGGAATTACGAGTAAGTTATAAATTAAAAAAATAACTCTAACCCTGTAACAGGC